GTACATAGGGTCGCTATGAGTCGCAGGTGACTCGACGGCACATAACAACAACAACAACATATACATCCATGATCTCTTGGCACAGATCTCTGAACACAAAATACTTTCATCCTAGGTGAGTCACCTGAGCTTCATATGCTAAGATACATGTTAATTAATACTTTTATTAATCATCACAAATTAAACACTAAATGTATTAAATAGTAATTATTTAGAATAATTCTATGATGGTAATCAACACACTTGGAATAATCAAAACTGAACTAATAGTTTAGGAAGCAGACAGTATTTATATATGGTTATGGCTAATTCCGCAAATATTACAGTTGATGCTTGCGCAAATGACAAATACAATCGATATTGCCAAATTATATATTGAAAGATGCTCAACTGGAAATGTTGTATTTTATACCAAAGACATAACATCAAGCATTTGTGAGACTCAGTTGACTTCACATCATGTCCACGCATCTTCAACAGTTGACTACACATATGCTGTGTGAATCGTCCCTGGTGTTGTGTATTTCTCCCTCACACACTGTGCATATCACTAGAAGTCAGCTCTCATTTCAGAAACCCCTTTTCTGAGAGATTACTCTTTACTGTACTTTTCCTTCTAAGACTCTCACCTTCTGATAACTAGCAAGCCATTATAAGGATGCCATGATGCAGTCAACACTGATGAATACAGCCTGCTTGTCTTGGCTCCACTGTGTGCTTTCTTCTTGGAGGCCAGGAACGTGGGCAGTGGGTGAAGAGGCTGGATCTGAAACAGCAGCCCCAGCACTGTCTTGATCTTCCCAAGCCAATGCTGAAGCAATGGCTGCCAGTAGCATTTAATCTCTGGCCTCTAGGCTGACAGTGAGTTCACATGTAGTCTCCTTCTTGTTTACCCATTTCCTTTATCAGTGTGCTGTCAGAGTTGTGGCTATTGTGTGTGCCATCAGTTGTTCATCAGAGAAAGCCTTTCCTGGAAACTGAGTTTTTGAGATTCTGAGGTGGGGGATGACGAAGATGCGGAAGTCATCTAGTACGCAGAAGGAGTAATGCTGGAGGCGACGACTCCTTCAGGTAATAGACTGCCTCTTCCTCATGATGCCTCTTTCAGGACGTGTTGATCAGTTATGGATTCTTTAGAGCTGACTCTCTCTGAGCTGTGATCTGAGGATGGGTAACACCTCAGATCTTGAAAGCATTGAGCTAAGTAAAATAAGTCATAGTATAATAGATATTGTATGATTCTGCTTAAATTCACTATTAATGTTCTACAACCACCAAGACCATTGAGCAATGGGGATTACGGTCCTTTTGTAATGATTAAAAGCAAAGATGTCCCTCAGAGGACTAAGGTACATTGGACCCAACCTATGGGTCCTAAATGGCTTGCCTCTGGAAACTCTATGTATGAACAGTGCTCAGGCCTTTCATTCATAGGGTCGCTATGAGTCGTCTACGACTCAACGGCACCTAACAACGATAACAACGATGACAGAGAGAGAGAGAGCTACGTTGGCCTAGTGGAAAGAAAGTTATGCTACCAAGCCGAAGGTGGGTGATTTTAATCTGCAGCCCTTGGCCAGGTTCAAATTGTTTTCCTGTCAAACATTCTTCTAGGTGGTATAGCACTGGTCTGTGCGTTGCTGTACAGAGGTAACTGGTGGTTGCTATGATGCTGAACACTGTGACACTGATGTGCCAACCGTGGTAATGGTCACCCATGGTGGACAATGTTGGCTGGAGCTTCTCGACTAAAACAAGCCTGGAAGCAGGAGCAGCATCTACTTCCAAAATGGCTTGCCTCCGGAAACTCTATGTACGAACAGTGCTCTGGCCTTTCGTTCATAGGGTCGCTAAGAGTCATCTACGACTCGACGACACCTAACAACAACAACAACATGATATTGTCAATCACCTCACATGCATGTGAAAGCTAATTGCTGGACAAGGAAGACAGAAAAATAAAAATGTTTTTGAGTCATTGTGTTAGAGAATAAAAACATAGATTATATGATGGCCAGGAGAGCAGACAGACCTGCCTTGGAAGCAACATAGGATGAATGTCCTTTAGACTTGACGACAAGAGACTCAGCCTCACAGACTTTGGTCATGTTTTCAGGAAGAACCCATCCCTGGAGAATGACATCTTGCATGGTAAAATAGAGGGTTAGTGCAAAAGAAGACCTGGGGGGGGGATGGATTAACACAGTCGCTGCCAACAATGGGCTCAAGCAGAGCAAGGACTTTGAGGATGAACCAATACTGGGCAATGCTTATTGTGCTGTACTGGGTGGGGTCACTGTGAATGGGATCTTGGTCAATGGTACCCTGCTGCTGCTGCTGCTGCTACTACTACTCCTACTCCTACAACTACAACTATTACTACAGCTCTGATTCATTCACTAAGTGTTTCTGAGAAAGTATCAACAGTGAATCATTTTCACTAATCTGAAACAATACCCTGGAACTTTACAACTGAAAAACATGCAGGAACTTTCAAATCTCCAGACTTGGTAAGTTAGTGGAGACCAACTGGCCTGGTTCAGAGGGAGCTGTGCTGATAACCCAAAGGGGGCACCTCCTTGAAGGTTCAGATCTACCAGCAGCTCCTCTGGAGACAAAAGAGCCATCTCTTCCTGTATGATTTACAGTCTCCAGAAATCCCATTGGAATGTCAGTTATGAGCTGGTTCCGACTTGATAGCAAAGTGGCATGCAAACATACAAAGAAGGAGTGATGGGGGGCAGGCACAAACCATTACTTAATTTCTCAGTCACTAATTGGAAGGTTGGAAGTTCAAACCCACCCAATGCATCCACTGAAGAAAAAGACCTATCAACATATTCCCACAAAGATTACTGTTTCTGTTGTTAGATGTTGTTAAGTCAGTTCTGACCCATAGTGACCCCTGTACAACACAACCAACTGCACGGTCCTGCACCAACCACATAATCATTGCTTTGATTGTGTTAATTGTTGTAGCTACTGTGCCAATCTTTCTTGCTGAGGAGTTTCTTCTGTTCTGCTGACCCTCTACCAAGCATGGTGTCTTTCCCCAGGGCTCAGCCCTTCCTGATAACATGTCCAAAGTACATGGATCAGGTCTCTCCCCCTTCTTGTTTCTAAAGATTAAAATTTGAGCTTAGAACTTTTATGGAGTAGCCCTACTCTGTCACATGAGACCACTGTGTGTTAGAATATTCAGGATAGCACCTCAAACATCACCAGGGCTGGGAGATAGATAGCAAGAGACAGTGTGCTTTTCAAGAAGGTAATAGGAAAAAATTGCAACCCGATAATAACGGTGATGGTTGAAAAGCAAGATAAACATAATTAATGTCACTGAGACTTTAGCAGCAGTTAAGAAATCAAAAGATGTGCAATTCTGCTGTCCTTTAAAGTGCTAAAGAGCAAGGATGTATGTTTAAAAACTAAGGTGCATGCCTGGTCAAGCCATAGTATTTTCAACTGTATTCTATGCACCTGAAAGTTAGATATTTTAGAGGAAAGATTGAAGAAGAACTGATGCCTTTGAATTGTGATGTTGGAGAAGAGTACTGAATATCCCACAGACAGAAAAATAACCCCTAAACAAATAAAACCACAAAAAAGTCTGTCTTAGAGAAAGTGCAACCAGAGTGCTTCTTACAGGTAAGGATGGTAAAACTGTGTATTCACATATTTTGGGCCTGTTGTCAGTAGGGGCAAGTTGTGGGAAAAGGATTTCATGCTTAAAAAGGTGAAGAAGCAACTAAAGAGAGGCAGACTCTCACCTAGACGGATCTGCACAGTAACTATGACAATGGACTTGAGCATGGTGCGGACCGTGAAGACGGCGCAGGCCACGGTTCAGATCTGCTGTTCACAGGGTCATTATGCATTGTACCCAACTCATGAAACCTAACAGCAACAATAACAACAATGTCACTGAAACATATACAGGAGTCCAGCAGGCTGAACACTGGCATGCTAACAGAAAGTTTGGTGGTTGGAAACCTGCAGCTGCTTCACAGGACAAAGACAAGGCAAGCTCCTTCTGAAAAGATTGTTGTTATGTGCCATCGAGTCACAGCAACTCATAGTGACCCCATGTACAACAGCCCTAAACCCTGCTCTAGCCTGTGCCAATCTTATTGTCTCTGAAACATCTACCCCCATTACCCTAGTCACTAAATCAAACCATCTCATCGAGGGTCTTCCTCTCCTGTGCTGTCCCTCTACCCTCCCAAGCATGATGTCCCTCTCCAAGAACCGGTCTCTCGTTGCAACATGTCCAAAGTATGTCAGATGAAGGTTCAGAATGCTTGCCTCTAAGGAGCAGCCTGGTTTAACTCTCTCCAGGATGAACCTGTTTGTTCTCTTAGCAGTCCATGGTACTCTCAATACTCTTCTCCAACACCACAGCTCAAAGGCATCAATTGTCCTTCTATCCTCCCTAGTCATTGTCCAGCTCTCTGATGCAGAACAAGTGATTCAAAGATTACACCCTTGAGAATCCTCGGGGGCAGTTCTACTCAGTCCCACGAGGTTGCTATGTGTCAGAACTGACTCAACAGCAACGAGCTGATATACTGCGAACAAAGGAGAATTCCTGGCAGCATAGCAAATTGCTCAGCTGCTACCCAGAAGGTCATCAGTTCAAACCTACCAGCCATTTTATATGAGGAAGATGAAGGAGTCTGTTTCCATAACAATTTACAGCCATAGAAACCTTAGCATCCACTCGACTGCAGTGAGTGGGGATGGTGCACGAAGACAAGATTGACATAACAGATGCTTTCTTCACACCTCTATTTATTACAACTGAGGGAAAAGTGAAACAGGAAAGGATACCAGGGCAAACATGAGCAAAGGGTTGGCTGAGGATGCCACAGGAAGCCAGGAAGAGGAAGGTGGGATGGTGGGCCTTTGGCCTGAACATGTAAGGAGGTACATGGGTTAGAGGGTACGATGGTGAGGGACAATACAAGGTGGACCCTGCCTGCAAGGACTCTGGGAGAGAACTAGCGCACCTGGCCAGATGTTTACTTAGATCATGAAAAATATCCAACATGTGACTCTAGTAATGTCAGATGGGAGAAAACAAGCCCACCCAGCACGGAGCAGAGGGGTCTTGTTCCTGGTCCCCTGCACATCTCCACACTCAGGCACTAGGCATCCAGCGGTCTGTAGTGGGAATCCTGTGTGACCTCTGTCTGCAAATCCCTAAATACATCCAGACCTGACCAGCCTGGCCTCTCCACCTCGACTGGCTCTTTTCTGACCTGTGTCCTTGGATTATTCCTACTGCTGGTAGAGTCGGGTGCCACAGACATGCTTTCATAAAGATCATCTAAGTCATCGAGCTCAGTGATTCTCACCTATAGAACTGCCAACCTCCCCCGGGGGGACACTCAGCCGTATCTGAAGACATTCTGGTCATCACCACAGGAGATTGGAAGCCACTGGCACCCTGTGGGTTAAAGTTTGGGATGCACAGGGCAGTGGCTACCACATGGATTTGCTGGTCCAGTCCCAAATTTCCAGAGCATTGAAGCTTAGAAGTCCTGATGGAACTTAGTACAGAAATTAAGTGGCCAGCTGAGATCACGGAAGTAGAGTATAACCCACACAAACACTCGAGCCCAGGAAAAGGAAACACACTCTTACAGTCAAGAATATTCCTGAAGTCTGACAAATTACAACAGAGTCTCTTCCCTGCCATTTACCGGGGATACGACTCTACTTGTTCTTTTGTAGAGGACTTTCACTTCTGAGCCTCAGATCCCTTCCCTCTAAAACTGTAATAACATTAAAACCACCTCACTTCAGACCATAAACAAAGATTCAGGAATATGGCAAGTGCTCAAACATTAGAAAGTGCTATCGCGATCTTCGCCGTCATCATTGCCATCCATCAGTGCTGCCACTTCCATCATCATCACCCTCATCACCATAAGAACACCACCATCACCATCTGTACCATTAATCGTCACTGTCACGGTCACTGCCACCACCATCATCACAATCACCAGCATCCAGTTCATCACCATCATCACCACCTTCATCATCATCGTCACAACCACCATCACACTGATAACTTTCTTTGACTTTTAAAAAATGAAACCAAGAAGAAAAATGCTACAGAAATGTGGAGGGGATGGGGGGCGTAACTGGATGACGCTCATACGAGAGAATAAAACTCTGAGCTGAAGGGAAGTCAACTCTTTTCATGATTTCACTGACAAATTCTGCATCTGGCCTTTCCCGCTCACCCACCAGCCCACCGACACCTGTTGAACAGAGGCCCGCCCTCCCCCATCTGCCTCAGGTAAACTCTGGCTGGATTTTGCTTCTCAGCCCTGCGGCTTACTTGAAACACAAGCCGCTGAGTATTAAAGGGTTTATTTTTCTGCCCATTTGTGTTTTATTAACATTCGCCAGACACTCACTGTCTCAGCTAAATCTGGCTCCTTGTTTCTTTCTTGTTGAAACAAAAGGCACCTTGATAAATGGATTACTCGGTTTCAATGCCTCTTCTGAACACACCTCAGATATCCTTTGCTGAAATTACATAGCGTGGTCTGCAGTTTCATATGCGGGAAGCTGGGCTGGAAGAGCACAGGGACTTCTATTCCAGTTGAGCCCCGGGGAATATTCCTCTCTCTGCACTGGGATAAGGCCACCATCATGCCCAGGTGCTACTTGATCGGCCCCTCCAAGCCAGCAAAGCAGTGTACTTATTAAAGACAAATTCTCTAACATCCAGCACTAGACTTTATCAGCATGAGAATGGTGCTTCGAGCAGGTAAAGTGCAAAACACTGACCAGGTAGAAGGGAAAAAAAAATATACGTGGGATATTTGGACTGCACAGTGCTTGTATTTCCTGTAGTCAAGTCTAGGAAAGGATTGCGAGGTAGCCAGCCATGCAGGTGACCTCTTCTTAATTGGTTCCTGAACTCTCTAGACTGCAGAAATGCAGCCAGGATCTCAGATCTACGGTGGGCCTTGACTTATTCAAGCCACAGGTTCTCCTGGGAAGTCATCCCCTTGAGATGTTGCACCAGTTTCCTGTAGGCACCAAAACCCATTGCCACACACATGCTACTGGCAAAGATGTTTGACTGTGTGTATCATAACAAGTTGTGGCTGACATTGAGAAGAATGGGAATCCTAGAGCACTTGACTGTGCTCATGAGGAACCTATACCTGGATCAGGAGGCTATTGTGTGAATGGAGCAGGGGAGCACTGCATGGTTTAGTATTGGGAAGGAAGTGCATCAGGGTTGTACTCTATCTCTATACTGGTTCAACCTATATGCTGAGCAAAATACCTGAGAAGCTGGACTCTATGAAGAGGAATGTGGCTCAGGATTGGAGGGAGACTCATCAATAACCTGTGTTATACAGACGGCACAACCTTACTTACTAAAATTGAGGAGGACTTGAAGCACTTGTTGCAGAAGATCAAGGAATGCAGCCTTCAGTATGGATTGCATCTCAATACCAAGACAACAGATTCTTATCACTGGACCAATAGGCAGTGTCAGGATGAATTTAGAGGAGACTGAAATTGTCAACAGCTTCATCTTGCTTGGATCTATAATTAACATTCTTGGACTGAGCAGTCAGGAAATAAGGAGAAATACTGCACTGGGAAAATATGTAGTTAAGGACCTTTCCAAATTATTGAGGAGTAGTGATGTCAGTTTGAGGACTAAGGTGCATCTGATTCAGGCCATAGTCTTTCCAATTACTAGCTATGCATCCAAGACATGGACCATGAATAAGGACGACAGAAAGAGAACTGATGCCTTTGAGCTGTGGTGTTGGAGAAGAGCACTGAACATACCACGGACGGTCAAAAGAAGGAACAGATATGTCTTGGAGAGGGTGCAGCAAGAGTACTCTTTGGAGGCAAGAATGATGAGACTTTGCCTCACATACTATGGACGTATTATAAGGGGGGGGGTCAGCAAAGGAGAGGAGAACCCTCAATCAGGTAGATTGACATGGTGACTGCTGCAATGGGCTCTTGTGTGTCAGGAAGTATGAGGATGGTGCAGGACAGGACTGGGTTCAGATCTTTTGTTCATAGGGTCTCTACGAGTCATATTCGGTGGCACACAACAACAACAACAACATACACAGACAACTCACTAGTCTTCCTCTAGAACTATGCAGTTTGCCTGTCAGCATCTGACCTTTGGTTCTTTGGATCTGAACCAGCAGATTGCCATTGCCTGCTGACCCTGGTAGCCATCACTCTCTGCAGCCTGTGAGCCAGCTGCTTGCCATCTGATCATAGCTAATCGTCCCCGTTAGCTTTCTGAGTCAAGAGAAGCCTCTAACTTGGTGTCTGACCCACAGACTTGGGGCCTGTCAGTCTCTACGACCATGCAAGCAATTTCCATGAGTCCAATCTCTTTCTCTCCATACATATACAGGCTTTACTGCTTGGTTTCTCTAGAGAACTCAGTTTAAGACAGTGAAAAGCTTTCTCACCTTTTCTCCAAAACTTCTCAGGTGATCTACTTCACCTATGTCAGAACTTAGACTATTTGACTTCAAAAATTATACAGATGAGAATCTGCCAAACTTTATCTGCAAAGAGGCAGAGAGTAAATAGTTTAGCCTTATTATCGTACAGAATCTGCTGCAAACTCTCAACATTGCTGTTGTAATAGAATATACAAAATCTCAACAAATGCTTGTGTTTATATGCCAATAAAATTTTATCAATACAAGCATCAGAAATCCATGCAATTTTTACTTGTAAGAAAATACTCTTCTTTTGATTCTTTCACGCCCCTTTAGATACTTTAGAAATGTGGC